GATGACTTTGAAATCTGTACTTCTGAAAGTGAACAAGATCTGACTAGGCCATCAACATCGACGGCTCAAACTGGCGTGGCCAAGAAAAATCCATTTGCCTGTCTGACAGAATCAGAAAACAGTGACAATGAAGTGCCATCAGAATGGCACAAACTTGATCAGATGTCTTTGCATATCGATGACTTAAGACCAATTGTTCATGATTTTGAAACTCCAGCTCTGGCTGTATTTCTGCTACTGTAAATTCAAACAGTTCAATGCTGGATTATTTTTCTACTTTTTTTTCACGGAATTACTGATGACTTTTATTGCAGATAAAACTAACAGGTTCTGCAAGGAAGTAATTGAGAAGACACCTGCCACTATAAGCTCTTGTCTTTCCTGATGGACAGACATTTTCAAATTTTTTTTTAGGAAAGGTTTATTTAAAATTTATTACCTTCTATACTATACAACAGATGATGCATATGTTGTTGCATAGTAGAATAGGTTAGTTGTGTATCCTTTACAGGACGTTGCAGAACCAACTCCAGCAGCGCCTGGCTGTTGTGAGGTTTCTCTAGGCAAATTTATATCCAGTAGTTTGCCATCGCTTTCTAGTCGGTCGGCCCCCTGATACATCAACCCCGGCATTACGAAGCGTTCGCATCGACAGCCACAGAGCCGACACATAGTAGAATACTGATCTTATTTTTGGTTATTGTATGATAGTCTAGTGTAGTTGGTAACATCCACCTTACAATTGGAAGATCTTTTGTTCAAACCGCCTCTGGACTTTTCACTTTCAGTTCTAGCCAAATTTTGTCAATGGATTGCTCAAGTATTATTTTTAAAAAAAATGAAATAACATGGTGACTACAATTAATTATGATGAAAGTGGGAGCCGCAGCATCAATACAGTTTTGGGGTAGGGACTGGGAATAGTTTTTCCCTTTCATCCCCTTTCTCCCTCCCCCATTCTCCTGTGAGGGAGCTGTAGCTTCATTGGTCAAGTTTGTGGGTCGAAAGTTTGTTAAATTCCTCCATGGAGTTTCTGCTACATATACTGCAGTGGTGGAGACAACACTGAAAAGGATACACTTTCTTTCTCTATCCCTAGCAAAGCCGGGCAAATCAGTCTTGTTTCTAGTGGTTACTTTTTGTAAAGACATGGTTTCTTGGCCTCACCATTGTGTTTGACTTGTCAACACTCTGGCCCGCCACACACCTTTTTAGGGTGAATATTTTTAGGTGTACAAAATATAGCCATCACCGCTGACAAATCTTTTGCGTTTTGAGGAAAAGTATTGCGCACAGGAGAGACCTTTTTTCCCACATTGCTTAGCACAGGGCAGACAGCGAAAGGGTTAAATTGTCTGTCACATCTCCATCGAAGATTAAAATTGACCCCAGATATTTAAATTCACTTTTTTGTAATTTTTGTGTAATTAACTATTATTGATATTGGTTCTAGTTGTCCGTTCACACTCACACACAGACACATAATTATAATTATAAAAATATAGGCAAAGGATTTACTTTTTGTTGTTGTAAATCTGAAAATTTATTGGAAATAACCTTGTTTAGCTACCATAGATCAGAAGGGGGTTTATATTCCTGATTTTTTGTGTGTTTAGCTCTAGGTTTCTCGGTAGCTTTGGTGTTTTTAATCTTGATTAACAAGCAGGATTGTTTGGCTTTTCAGCAGTTTTCTCTTACTAAAAAAAAAACATTTTTTAAAAACCTAACAAAACATCCTTAGGATTTTTGCATATTTTGTATGATAAGTATTTCCTAGTGTGACCATATATATTTTCTTCTACTGTTTTTCATTGTTAGATGTCATTATTTCTCATTTTCAGACTGTTGTTGTTGGCTGTAGCTTGTGAATTTAGTTTAAAGTTTTTTTCTTTAACACTGAAAACATATTCTAAAGCTGACTTTGTCCTTCATTTTTACTTTTATTTTATTATCTTCAGTAGTAGTAATTTTCCCTAATAATGCCTTACAACATAAACTGCCTAAGGAAAACTACAAGATTTTGCCTGAATCCGAACTTTCCAGCATTGCTGTTTGTAATTTCTGTGGCAGCCAGTTTCAGATTATTTATATGGGCATATTGCCCTGCGTCTAAGTCTTATTTTTTTTTCGAATTTAAAGATGAGAGGGATAACAGACTTGTGACCGCTTTTCTGTTATGAACTTGTTAGCTTGTTGATGGAGTTGACAACACCAGGAATAATAGATGCATGGCCTCCAATGCCACCTGGTAGCTGAGTGTCTTCAGCAGTTGCATACCTGAACATCTTATCAGGAAGGCAAAAGAGGTTATATACAGTATTTAACATTGTCACCTGTATTTCTTATTATTTAAGTTACAGAAAAACATTGGAATAGAAACAATAAAGAATGTATTTAAGTTGTCTGTGAAGAAAGCCAGCATCACTAAATGACTTGTGTAGAACTGGATAAAATGCTGGTACTTATATTCTAGGATGTTTCAGAGTCAGAAGTGTGCAAGCTCAACTAGGTACAGAATAGATGTTTTGGGAAATATTTTTGTGACAGTCCATATAGGGTCTATAGCATAAACAAATTCTGCAGAGCTGAAATTCTTAAGAAAATGGTTTGAAAATATAAAAAATAATGTGTACAGCTTGGTACATAAGTTACTGATTTTTCTGTTACTAAATGAGTTCATAAAAAAAACATTTCTAAGGGGGAGGGGCAGGGGCATACGAAAACAAAAGATATAATCTCAAGGCATTTTCAGTAAACTACTAATTTGGAATGGAATGGTGTAGCGGATAGATGCTTGCCTGCCAATCAGAAGGTCATGGAGTCAGGTCCTGATGGTACCAGACTTTTAAAAAAAAAACCCTTGGCTTCCAGGTCAACCTAGCCTTGAATGGGTACCAGGTGGAGTCCAGGGAAGTAAAGACGGCCAATGTGATGCTGACCACATCACCCACCTAGTGCCGATTGGTCTGAAAAATATAGGTCTAGCCCTATGTGCCCAGTACGCCTAAAGGCGGGGAAAAGGGTCCTTTACTAATTTGGTATGTGTCAACCCTTTTAAGCTGTACATTTCACATAAAAACAATGGTTGAAAGAGACAGTTGTTTTGAGTTTTGAAACTTTAAGATAACAGCTTATAGATGGACACCTGTACATAGGTAAGATTATACTATTCAAAGGTCTTTAGCTTGCATAGAGATAAATTTGTATAGAGTACAAATGATCATATCTCCAGTAATCAAAATCGGTCATAAGCAAAGACAGCTTACAATGATAGATAACTTTTTGATCTGATGAAAATCCTCATATGCAAGAGTTTGAGGTCATACTTATCAAGATCTATCTCACTTCATCTCCATGTGGGCTGTCCTGAGCAGACACTAGTTGTGCTGACAAGCGGGAATTCAACCATGATCTCCACTGCGATGAGTGGGCACAAACTGCCTGCTGTGAGACTGCAAGAAACTTGCAACTACCACCTGTGATGATGGTAGACAATCAACACCAAGTGTTGTTTTCACTGTGTGGTGAGCTCACAGATACGTTTTGTTCAGAGGGGTTGGAAAAATGGAAGAGGTATATTGAAGAGGGGGGGGGGGGGGGGGTGTGTGTCTTTCACACAGAGGACAGATCTAATGTTTAAAAAAAATTTTAGTGGAGAAAAGGATCTTCAGATTGACATTTACATGGCACACTGTAGATTGATTTCTTTATTTACATTATTTATTTTGAGTGCTTACCATTTAATTAACACTGTTAGCTATAGCTGTCTGTTGTTATCTTTGTTACAACTGTTATCCATAATTATTAGTTTTCAGCCATACTTGAACATGTGACAATTGAACAGATTGATAGAAACAGAAAAAAAAAAAGACAATGAGAGACATATTTTCATGGCATGGAATAGTGACAGCATATGAATTAATAATGCTGTTGGGGGAGGGTTGCAGGAGTAGCATGCTTGTCACTGGTCAGCGAAGCACTTGATGTTGATAATAATAAAAATCGGTATGAGCTCCATAAGTGGCTAAGGCCTGATTACTACATTCTCTTCTAGCACCAAAATGTGGCAGTCACCAGATCCATTTATCACACAGAGAAACCAACCAAGTCTTTATAGACAGAGATTTCAATAATGCCGACACAGTGCATTGCACAGTTTATTGCCTGGCATATTTAGCTGTATCTCATCAGGGGCTTTACTACAGCAAAACGGGAAAACATTGTTTTAAAGACTGACGTTTGTCTTTTAGCGAAAGATATTTGCAATGCTGAATCTGCTTAGACCATGCTGTCATCATGTGATTATTAAATCAGATGCTGATAGAATTAGGCTGCATGTGTTTCTGCTGCTATTTTATTTCCTAATGTAAACAAAGTTTCCCTGAATTTTAAAAGCACTCTGTAAAATATTTCTCTGTAGTTGATGTGTTATTTTACCGTGCAGGCTCAGAGGGAAGGCAAGACAGACATATAACCAGATTGTGACCGGTACCATCAGTATTGGAACTCTGCGCTGGCTGCTAAAGATGACAAAGCACACATGGGAATGCCCCAAGTGTTGTGTTGTCAATTCTTGACTCAACTTAACTCTTACAGTGCAGGAGAATATTAGCTCCTGTACGATCAGTTACAAATAAGATCTGAAGCCAAATGAGAAGCAGAACTATTTAGCTTTACTTTACGAACAAAGTGTATGTCGTGGCTAGGAAATATTCACAAGCACATGTCATGAATAGAATATTACAGTTACAAGCAAGAATAAAACAGTAATACAGTACAGATGAGTTAAGACACACACTAAACAGAAAGCAGCAGTTCTGGGACATACAAGAGATAAAATAAGCAAAATCAGGTACAATTGTGGTGCTCGTAAAATTGTGTACTTTATTTTTTGGGATTGAGGGGAGGGTTTATGAAAGCAGTATTTGGTGCATATAAAACTTGCTATAATTCTATTGTTGTTTTTTGTTTTTGTTAAGATGTATTTATTTCTCTTTCAGATCTTCAAAAACTTTGGGCCTGTGTTCTGTGTGCTATAGACAAGGTATATGCTTTGCACATTTGTTTCATCAAAAATAGGCATAATTTCTTTAAAACTTATTAAATAACAGTAGTTATTGATCACTCAACTGCCCAGGTTATTTATGCGGCTGATAGCTGTATTAGTTTAATGTGATAGCCATGTAATTGATGTTTATTAAAGTATAAGTGCTGCTATGATATTTATTGTGCACAAGGTCATGTTTTGGCATTTGTAAGAATAGGTCATATTGTGGCATTTTAACATCATGCTCTCATTTTTAAGTTTTAGTTTATATAATGACAATTTTAGGTCAAATTTTGACATTTCTGTGCATGTTGCTCCTGTCAAACCAGATGTAAAAATGACATACAAATTTGACAGTGATATATGGACCTAGTAGAAAATAGTGTTTGCTGCAAAAGTTTAGGCTTGGCTACAAACAAAACTGGATAGATTGGGCATTTTATCTAGATCAGTGGTCTCCAACTTAGGGGATGGAGCAGGTGTAATAGGTTTCAAGAGGGACATCGAGCAATTTGGAAAGTGAGAGCATTTCTACTTATAATATTCCATTAGACATACATTTTGTTTTAAATTATAATTAAAATATTTTGTAAACAAAACCAGGACATTATTGTTTTTCTGAGCTGTTTATTCATCTACCGTTAAGAATCTAATTAATATGGTAACACTGGCATTAAATTATAGATTGCGAACACGTTCTGACCAAAACGTATCTCTGTACTTTCTGTTTCCCTTGTGGTACAATCTGCTGTCTTCCTCTTTTTGATCTCACTGGGGGGGGGGGGGGGGTGTTCTTGTCAGATGCTCGCCAAGGGTTTGGGGCAGCAATATTGGGGAAATTAGTCAGGAGATTGTATTGTATCACTGCAGTCTCAGATTTTGGGTCAGGGCATCCTCAGCTAAAGATGCTTTAAGTTCAGTCTTCCAGAAATCCCCCCCCCCCCCCCCCCAAAAAAAAATTTGCAGCATTTCATGACGCACGAGGGGTAAGACTTGAACTTATGCATCAGAGAGCTGACACAGCTTACATTCCAGTAACTGGTATTTTCCATGTTAAATGAAGAATTAGGGTCTGCAGTGACCTCTTTATGTGTACTTAATAACCAACATTTAACAAAGTTTTTAGAGAGATATACAAATCAGCTGCTTCTCATGAAACAGTACTGCAGAAGAAGTGTATGCATTTACAAAACTGCAGAGTTTTCTTTGTCAACATTGGACATGTTTGGCAATATATAAGATTGATGACATTCTTAGTGAGGATCCAATATATATATCTGTGTGTTTGTGTGTGTATATTTATAAATGGGGGGGGGGGGGGCTGAGCTGAGTGTTCTTGAGGCAAGGCGTCCGTCTCAAGTGATGTAAATACTGGGTCAAAACCCCAGGGAAGGCTGGGAATTTGTTTCACTGGGACTTCTAGTAACTTACCCTGGTCTCTGGGTAGTAAGATCAGACACCTGTGTGTTTGGTGCACATGTAAAAAAATCCCTTGGCAGTTGGAAATTGAAAAGAATAGCCTAACGGCGCTGCCCATGCAAAATCTAGAGTTGAAATCTACCCAAAGTATTTCAGGTTGCTCGGCAGTGCTACAGAGTTGGTGCACTTGACTGAGATTCTTGGGACTTGAGCTTAGAAATAGAAGAGATCACTTAGGGTTTACTACCGTTGTGCCGTGATGTTGACCTGTTGCATAAACCATATATATGAACTATTTGATCTCAATTGCAGTCCATAGAAATCAGACTCAAGGAAATACCAACACGTCTGGTAAGATTTCTGTCAGTGCTTTTTCAGTGTGCATTATTATATTTTCTGACTTAATAAAGGCAGCTTCCAACAATTTGTTTTGTTTGTCATGTTTGTGTCTGCCCTTTAAGTCGTATGTGTATTTTATTGCTAAGTGCCTCAAAGGTTGGCTTCTGAATAAACATCTTCTAGAAGAGAAGAAGTTATGGCTTCACTCAGGTGGTGGACATCCTTCAATTAGTGCATCATTTCTGCCTGTTTAATATCTGCAGATGTCTGCCAGATTATGCTATTATCTGTCACCATGGCTGTGTTGTTATGGTAACTAACATGTTGCTTGTCTTTGATTGTTGACACCTTTCCGTCTTTCCTATATGGAAGCATAGTGTCCTGCCATCTGGACCTTTCATCTGATGTGAAAGCTGTTTTAGTCATTTCATACTTGGCTGTAATCAGGTAATCACGGCTCCGCTCCTGTACCAACAAACATTGACAGAATGTACATCCATGTCCCTTGTTTTTAAAAAAATGGACACAGACTGCAGTCTGAAGAATGCCAATAGCCTACACATGCATTAAATGCATACAGCAACTGTCGGAAGTGCCAGCAGAAAGAGTCTGACACTAGAAATGCAGTTCATCGATGGATGCAGCAGTTACAACATACTAGTAGTCGCGAGCATACACAATTAATCGTATAAGGCACCACCAATTTTCTCTGGCAACAGGCTATTTGCCATTTTCTGAATCTACAGTTCACATTACAAACCACATTGGGCAAAGCTGAAAAGCATGCCAAATGAAATCCACAGCTGACAGTGTCATGCCATGTACTCAACTCAGTAGCAGGGTGATGGAACTACGACATAGCTGCACAAGAAGCTTTATGGAAGCGTAAATAGATTATTACAGGTGCATTGTTGTGATATATATTAGGAGTTACTCCATACTTCACCTTGTGCACCAGCTGGCTCTAGGTGAAAACGTCTATCAAAGCTCATTTGAAACATGGGTAAAGTCTGCTAGCCGAACATATTCCTAAATGACAACCTCCAGTTAATACGTCTGTCTTGTGGGAAGAACTAATGTACTGATGAGATTCAGCCCTTTAATAAGAGACTTGCATCTCTTGTGGGTGGCAACTCATGGAACACTACTGACTCCTCCTGAACATCATCACCACGGCATTCAATCTGCGACTGTCAGTGTGCTGGTTTGGCAAAAATATGTCTGATAACTAGGGCTGTACCGAATATTCGCTTCGTATTCGCTTCGGGCCGAATAGTGGACTTAATATATATTCGGTATTCGGCCGAATAGTTGCGGTAGGGCCGAATACGAATAGTGGTTACTTTGCACCCGTTTCTGCATACACTGCAATGGACTGAAATAACTCTCCCATTAACACAATAGTTGCTGTTGGTAAATTCTGTCGTAGCGGGGAAAACTGTGACCCGGTTGCGTGGTACAGCAGCTGGCAAGGTCTTTGCCTGCTGACTCGACGAGGCATTACAGCAGAGGTTCTCAAACTGGGTGCGTATGCCAAGGGTGCCGCGGCGAAAATCAAGAAAAGTCGGCTATAAATTGTGACATTATTAAAGAAGGCATGAAGATACTTTAAAGTTAAAATTTAAATTGTCTTTCCTCGCCACTGTCGGAAAGAGGACAGGCGACAGGCGATAACTGCATTTTATAAAATGAAGAACATCTTATGCAATATAACTGTCATTGAAGGTTAGAAAAAGAATTCTTGCTTGCTACATACATCCAGATTTAACATGGTTGTGAGTCCTGGACAATTGGTAGGCAGGCCAAACAATTTCTTGAGGCTTCAGAGATGTAGTTTTACAGAACATTGCTTAAAATACCCTGAACAGCAAAAAAGAAAAAAAGGAACCAAGAGGTTTTGAAAGAGGCGGGAGACCGAAGACAACTAATCACAGACATCAGAAGGAGACAGTTATGTTATGAGAAGATGGACAATGGAACATGTGGTGACCACTGAAAAGATGTGTGGAAGGAGGGATAGAGGAAGACGAGAGATTCTTGACAGTCTTGTTGCATGACATGGAGGTGTGTCAGCACACGAACTAATACATGCTGCAGGAGATCGCAGATTGTGGCGAGGCATAATCGCCCACGTTAGTCGGCAAGGCGATGATGATACACTATTCGTATTCGGCCGAATAGTGAAAATCACTATTCGGTACAGCCCTACTGATAAAGTCTTGTGGCACAGAAACAATGTCCAGAATGTCCAACTGAAAAAAGTCATACTAATTGGCAGAAAGATTTGCATACCTGTTACCAGTGGCCCCACTCGCCAGAGTGTGGCACCTATAAAGGGAGGCCATGCCGGATGCATGTTTTTGCTGTACTGTCTTGCTACATTTACAGATAAAAAAAATGTTAAGTTGCCTAATGTTCCTTAGAAAAATGAACCTTTTAATGTGGCCATCAAAGTCCCGGACCTGCAGGCGGCTACCTGCTGATCTTGTACAGATGGGAAATTAAGCAGTCGTGCGCAAGGCATGACGATTCCTTGAGTGAACCCAGGACCAGAGCGTGTCAGTTCTGCATTTATGGAAGCCTCCTTGGATTGCGGATATTCTCATGATCTGCCCCTGCCTTTTCTTGAGAGCTGACCTGTCTACATGCTGATGCCTTAAACAGGGTCTCCAGGGGCAACAACTGTAAATAAGGGGACAAAGAGAACATGACACAAATAAGGCCACACAAAACTATCAGGGAAGTTAACCCTGTCAACAAATGCTTGAGGAAGTCTGATGTGTCGGTCCATAAAGATAAAAATATTGCAACTGTGCTGTAAACAGGCAGAACATATTTACGTCACTAAGACAAACAAAAAATATTAAAGATCGGGGGGGGGGGGGGGGGGGGGGGGGTGGCAAGAGGTTCTGGTTGACACTCTGCACTCAGAGGAAGGGCAAGATGGACACATCAAACTACTGCTGATACCATCACAATTGATACTCTGTGTTAGCTGCCGAATATTGGGCCAGAGTCCCTTTGGAAATGTCTAGAGTTCTGTGATGTTGGTTCTCTACTCGTCTCAAGTACAGCAAGCTAGACATTTGTGTCAAAAAGTACCTAGATGAGGTAGTTGTAAGGAGTATGCAGCCCATATATTATTTTTTTTTTCAAGTCGGTAAAAGTGTAATTAACATACTTTTTTCTTTCACTTTAAGATGTGGGCAGAGCTGGTGTTGGGAACTGTCACAGCCAAACACAAAACAGTCAGGGAAAGAGGATGGACTCCAGGCATTTTCCATCACGGTCAACAGCGGATAACTTACCTGGCTCTCTGAGTTCCCCGCCAGGTGAAAGAACTGCATTGTCAGCAACACCTGCATCACCTGTAGATGCAACATCAGCAACAAGTGGCGGTACCTCGGCATCACACCACTCTTCAGCTGTGACTACTGCCAGCGTGGACAATCAGACAGAAACAACTACCATGACCATATCATCATGTGAATCCTTGCTGACTTCAGATGTCTCTGACCTATGCAGCACTGCATCTAGTGATCTGTCACATGACTCTAAGCATGACACTGGCTCCTGTGCCTCAGACTCTTATGCTAGCCTAATTTCAGGGACTAGCAGCAACACAGCAGCCATGCCATCTTTTGCAACATCTGAAAGTAATGAAGAATGTATAAACAATGATTGTCAGGTTGCTGGGGGCCAAAGTTCAATAGCTGGTGTGGGATTCAGAACTGACATTGCCTCCAAATCTTCCACTCAGTCACCTTCAGACTGTGCACAAACTGTCGGCACTTGTGCTGATACAACGGTTGTTGGCAACACAGCTGCTTCTTCCAATAAAAACACTTCTCCGAAAACTATGGATACTGGAGACAGGCGCACAAACACTTCTACAGCATGTGACATAACTTCTCAGGCATCAGCAAGTCGAACTAACCCATTGACCGACACAAACAGGAGCACAGAGCCAGCACCAGGAGAGGTAGATATATCTGCTGCCCAAATGAGGGGCACCAAGAGGTAATAGTTTCATGGTGTCAGCGCATTGTTTATCAGCAGGTTTATTATGTTTGGGGTACATATAACTGACTGTTAGCTGTCTCTCTGGGTGTGTCTTTTTGGACGATAGTGTTATATTGTGCTGTGAAGAGGCATGGGACTCAGAGCTCATGGTAATGGCGAGTGTCATTAGCAAGACCCACCTGCGTTAACGAAGGTATTCCACAATTATAGTATGGGATTTGAAGACCATTGTTACTATTATTTATGTTTCGTATGTTTCTTCTCAGAAGCTCAGCTCGCATCCTTTCTGCAGTAATTTCTTTATTCATTCTCCTTTTGTTCCTCTGAGTCCACCTCAATACTTGCATCATTCATGTCCCGCTCACACTTATCTTAGTCGAGGTCGGCATTGATATATTCTACTAATCTGTTTGATGTTGCCTAGTGTTGTGTTGTTAGATCTGAGTAGCATAATTTCACTGCACTTACCTGCCAGCCTGATGTGCCCGGGGGGGAAAGCTCTCTGAAAATGAAAAATGTATTTTCTAGGAGGTAAGGCTGGAGGTAACCACTGATCATGTGAGCTATCAAGAACTGTTGGATGATGATGGGACACTGCGGTCTCGTTATTGTGTGGTCTGGATTATATTATAATATCCTACCCCAGATGACATCACAGGACATTCCAACATTTTAGAGGGTGGTAAGGCTGGATTTCCCAGCTTTCTGATGCTTTAAACGACCCTAAAACATCTAGTACTGCCTACTATACCCCAATCCACCTACGTACCACGAGAGTGCAGCCTAGGACCCACGACTGCATGCAGCCTAGGTCCCAAGACTGCATGCAACCTATCTACCACTCCCTGAAATATTAAACTGTCCTTTGACCTGTGGATTTCCCCTGTTTGAGGTAAGATATTGAGAAAGCACCGTGGTCTGATACTATATCCCAAGGGACAAGTTCTGGGATAATGGTGGCCAGCATGTTATGATCACAGAACCCACCAAGTGCTCTTTATTCCATACAAATGCAGAACTGACAGATCCCCAGTAAATCTCAACCCTGTTGTCCTGGCAACACTAAAAGTATAGGCATAAATTCATGAGAATTTTAATTGAAATCCTTTAAAAAAAAAAATTCAAACCAACCATTTTGCACATGTCAAAATGAATAATAATAATTTGTGAATATAAATTCTTTTTCTTGTCTTTGGTTTAAGGGAAAAAAAAGGGGGGGGGGGGGTGTAATATAAAGGGAGTGATCAGTAAACATGAACTGGGTGTAGCATTAAATGGAATGCATTCCCTGAGCCCTAAAAATATGTATTTGGGTGATTCATGCACTGACTTTTCACTGGAAAATTATGACATCACCCCGTGACAGGGACCCACCCTCCCCCCCCCCTCTTTCCCAATACTTTGTTTGGTAAATATATTCATACTAATATTCCTAGCCTCATTAACATTGCCTGTGTGCACACACAACCAATCTGTAAACACATCTTCCTAGAAAAGTTGGTTTTGTGCCATGTACAGGTAATTAGACCAAACCAGAAGTGTTGGTTTTCTTGGGATGACATGGTTGGTTAGTTATGAGTTGGAATATCTTCACAGCACTCCGGACACATCCAAACGAGCTCAGGTTCCCTCTTCAACTTAGTCATCAGTATTGAGCGATTAATAGTGCCAGTCCTGGGCTGGTTGACAAGACTTCTTATGCGTCTGGTGTGCTTGACTGTGCCAATCTTCGCTCCTAATTCTCACATTCTAAGCAGTGATTTAGACACGCTGTTTCCAAAATCCTCGCAATGTCCTGTTTCTCTAAGGGCACTGACAATGTCTGCGTGGCCCTTGGGCCGGCCATCTGCAATTAATGCAGAACCTGCAGATGTGTCAGCTCTCTTATTACCAACAACACCTGCATAACCTGGGGAAAATGTGAGGATAACAGCACACACATGAGAGTTTTGCAATGACCCAATCCACTGTCTACGTACAGAGCCAGCCTCGACCTGCCAGATCGCTCAGCACACAAGCACATTAATAGTCCTGTGATTCTAGCCACATGAATCTTGTGTCACCGCCATCACCACCATCGTCATACTGCTGGTAGTCATGGAGAAGGCACTGCTGTCTTCTTGGACTTGTTCTGCCTGGAAAGCGAGCTGTAAATGCCCACACACTTTTATGTCCTCATATCATGGACCCGTCTGTAGATCAACACATCTGTCTCAACTGTCAGGAATGAGTGCGCAGACCTCGGAGTTGACAGCGACGGGATTTTGTTTGTGAAAACTCCAATCAAACGTGACAGCACAGAAGGTGAGATTGAGCGCTTCGGGCGCTGGTATCCATACCTCACCAGGGTGGACATCTGTAAGACTTCAGATCTGCTTGATGTCATCCTCTGCTCTGCCCAGCCATGATTTGCCCCTTTTTAGTCTGTTGCCCTTTTCCCTGAAGAGCATGTGATGCAAAGGGTGCTTTAAATCTGAGCTTATCTTGATATATACGCGAGCCCTTGAGATCTTGGTCCTGTAGTTCATGGTTGGGAAGTCAAGAAGGTATCTTATTGCTGCTACACAACAGGTGTCTCTTGTGCACCCCAGAATAACACGCATGGCTTCATTTTGCAGCTTTTCAAGTTTTTCAGTCTTAGTATGGCTGACAGTGAGAATGGCTAGAGCATATTTAATGGGAGAAAGAACAGGTTCCTGGAACAGAAGCAGTCTCTGCTCAATATTAGCTGCGGCCAGGACCCTGATTCTAACAGGCCTTTGCATGCTTTTGTTATAGCATGGTCAACCTGCTATTTGAAGGACAGGTTGCAATAAAACCTCACTCAGAGATATGTCATCAAGTTTGTTCTCGTCAAAACTTTATTGCTGCTTTCTGCTGCTGGTAAGTTTGCCTTCACTATATGTATGTTCAAGGAGGACCATTTTACTGAGGCCTTGAAGGGTTGACACGTGCATTCGAATTTACACACCAGGGGGAGATGTGATCAGGTTCACTCTGCATTGAATTGGCAATCTCTTGATCTCTTTCATGTCGATATATCAAAATGTCATCAGCAAATGACAAAGTCCTGCCACTCCCGTGCAACTGCTGCATTGTACATTGAATAGAATGGGAGATGGCGGGGAACCTAAAGGCAATCCGGGACAGATATCGATTCTGAATACCAACAACCACACCTGAGTATCACATGTCTCTTAAACAGTACTGCATTTACCCAGCGGGTGAAAAAGGGTGATATTTCCAGCTGGAGAAGTATGTGCACCAAGTATTCTAATGTCTAGTACGGCTGTACATGTCTTTTCTCTCATCTGAAAACCTTCATAAACTAACAAGCAAAAACTGCTGCATTGAGCCATGTTTCTTTGCCATGCCTGTATCCTCCAAGTGTGGATGGTAACCTGACATGCTTTTCCTAGTCATCAGCAGTTCTGCATGCTAGTTTTTTTCCAGAAGCTTGCCCTTAGTGTTCTGCATGGTAATGATTCTGTAACCACTGATCTTAGAATGGTCTTTATTTGGTTTCAGTAGGGGTAGTAGGTAGCTGTGTAGCCACTCCTCTTTGATCTGACCATTTTTGATGCTGATGTTGAATTCTCCTGCCATGTCTGTTGTCCTCTGACATGTGCAGCCTATCAGCATATTGGCTGCCATCCAGGCTTGGGGGAGTTTTGGATGAGTTCCTAAGTGTTCTCTGTGTGGTCTTAGCTGTAAAACTGAAATGATCACTTAGCTCTGCCTTCTCACACAACTCTGAAAGTGTTGACTTAACTCTGGCTGCCTCATTTTTTTGGTTGGTCTGTTCTAAGTAGATTTGAAGGAGGGCCTGTCCTTTATCTGCATTAGATTTCCGCCATGTCACATCCGTGCTTTGAAAGTCTGAGATACTCTGATGTTGTATGGTGCTGTTTATCGCCCAGTGGAGTGATTAAAATGTGGCAAGAGAACCTTCAGGGCACACCTTCTTACAGTAATCATCCCATTTCTCATTCTTGATATGCCGTGCGCTAGCTTGAAAGCCACCGTTGTCTTACTGACCATCTTTGAGGAGCTCAGACTGTGACGTGCTATTCTTCCTGGCCTTCTGCCACACCTTGACGGCATGCGTCTTTTCTAACCATATTTATTAAACCTCTTCATCCAACCATGGTGGCTGAGTCTGTTTTTCCTCTGTCTATGGGGGGTATTTAATTTTCAGCGTCTGTCATACTGGAAAGTATTTACTTTCTTTCTCTGACTGCTTTTCCCATTCTTTTCAACCTAGACAACACGAGGCAGGTGGACGTTGTCATGGTACTCCAGTGTGTTCTCCATTTACAAACTAGGGCGATGGTGGGTGACACTAGAGCCAAATCAGCGACACTGTCATAATCACCTAGTTGAGTTTCTAATCTAGTAACTTGTCTGTCATTCAAACATACCAGTTCAGCTTCCTCCAGATCTTCCCCCTGTTTATTAGGGATGACTTTACCCCACTGGCTGCCTCTGGCGTTAAAGTCCCCACAGTAAATTTCATTTTCTTCCCTGGGTGCAAATAAATGCTACCACTGCCGCACGTCGACCTTTCTCTTGCAAGCGTAAACATTGACGATCATGAATTGGACGGAAGCCGGCACTCTTACTGCTTGCACACACAGGGCGTCACTCTTCCATTCAGACATGTCAGCTTTGGATACCAGTAAGCTGTAATGAACCACAGTGACTTGTCTAAGATGCTACTGATTGTAAAAGCACTGAAAACCAGCAGTTATAACTGTCTCGTCGCTTAGATATGTTTCCTGCAAGACTACGATATCATTACTATAAAAAAGCTTTTGTACAAATGGTCAGTCTTTGGTTGAACGGGGCACAGTTCCAGCATAACATACAAACATATTTTAGGCTCAGCCTGTCATATTTAACTGTTTCTGGCCGGCGTCAGTCCATTTCACTCGTCCTCTGGTTTCCATGAATGAAATATCACCACAGGACTGATAAAATGCAGATAGGAGACTGGATACTCATACAAAAACTCTTTAGCACGGTCCAAACTCCCTTTATGCTTCGAATCTTACATTAAACACATAACTGGTGGGGGGGGGGTGGGGGTGGGGTGGGGTGGGGGGGGGGGGGGGGGGGGGGGGGGGGGGGGGGGGGGGGACCTTCGTCCTAGTGGACAAAAAAAAGAGTGTCCTGCCATCTTTTTTGTTTACCTGGAAGACGATGACAGGGTTAAAGTGTGGATACAAATCCTTTACTTTTACTTTGCATACCATATCCCAATATCTCACAATAGCAGGAGTGTTGTATGTATTCCTGTGGGTATGCTTATCTCTATGACTCTCATTTTCACTTCTTTCATCTCTTACTGTTCTGCTTCTTGCTCTTCTGATGACATTGACAAGGGAAACATTGTACTGTTGTTACTGTTGAAGAGTTTATCTGTTAACTTTCCATCTTGTTGTTGGTTTTCTTTTGCTGTACGACCAGCTCCTCTATTGGTATATGGCTTGTTTGTTATGGCGTTTCAAGACAGACCAATTTTTTCCCACTTTGTAATTTGTATTTTTTCTGTATTGACATGCTTTTCATTGTTCTTACTGCATTAGGATTTTATGTCAGCATATTTAAGCAGGTATTAAGAAAAATTCAGTACTTGGGGAAAGAGAAATTCCACATTGTATGTTGAAACTCAAATTGTTTTTAAATGAATAGTATTACTTAATGAAAGCTTGGGTTTCTTGTCCCATTACAATTGATTAAAAGTAAGATTAATGCTGTGTGGGTCTGTCTATGGGTATGCCCTGTGTACTATGATGTCGATTCTTAAATCATTGATTAGTGCTGTGTCATTTGTGAATGACAGTGGTGAATGCCCCTGTTGTCTACTTCCCCTGGTATTAGTGCAGTTCATAATTAATTGTTATATTTAATCATATTTTATTACTGTAGCACTTCCTAATACTGTCATGCTAGCAAAATCCTTTTACGAATTATCATGAAGAGGATTGAAAGGAAGTTACAGTATAAGCTACATGGAGCACAAGCAGGTTTCAGACAGGGTAGAGGAACTAGGGATCACATCTTTAATATGAGAATAATTTTTGAAAAATGCAGAGAATACAACGTAGATATTCATGCTTGTTTCGTTGATTATAGCAAGGCCTTTGATTGTGTCCAACACCACAAACTGTGAACTGTTATGAGAACTATGTGGTTTCCAGCGCATTCGGTGCATTTAATTGAAAATCTTTATCATGAACAACAAGCAGCCATTAGAGCGACTGGTGAAACATCGGATTGGTTCGAGGTGCAAAAGGGAGTGAGGCGGGGTGCATTCTCTCACCATACCTATTCAATGTATCCGCAGCAAATATAATGAGAAATGTCAGAAATTATCAGACTTGTGACAGTTATGATCGGCTCAAAATTGATGGCAACCCTATTTCGGAACTTCGCTACGCAGATGGCACAGTTCTAATTTCGAGAACGTAAAGGGAAATTTTTTTTTTATATTGTCTGTCCAAAAGCATAATGAAGATTAAAATCTGTTCTTGAATTTAAAGAAAATGTACATAATGTCCACAGATAAAACTGGCTGCACCCAAAAATAACAATAAATGATGAAGAAATTAAAAATGTCATAAACTTTGAATATCTAGGCTGTATAATAAATAGCAATGGAGACTGACAGAAATTAAAAGGCCATAGCAATTCAAAGATTAAACAGCATTAAAAGTCTATGGTTAAGCACCAGCAAGGAGATAAAAATTAGAATTTTGAGAGGATACATCTTCCCTGTAGCAACATAAGGATGCGAGTCGTGGACTATCTCCCAGTCCTTAAGAAAGAAAATAGGGGCTTTTGAGCTAGAATGCTATTGTAAGGTTCTCAGAATATCTTAAGACAAAGATAAGGAGAAATGCTGACATCTTGAAAAATCTGAACATCAAGAAAGATTGGCTAATAAACAGCATCCTGTCTCTGAAGCTGAAATTTTGGTCATATCAAGTGCCGCGACGAATTGGAAAAAATAATAGCAGAAGGCATGGTGCCAGGAAATAGGGTATGGGCAGGGGCCGACCAACACGAAGATGGGCACATGATATAAGTGACTCCTTGAGTATGAAAATAAAAGCACATGAGAGCTGGCGAGAAACCGAGTTATTTTCAGGCAGACAGTGATGAGAGCGACATTCTGCAAAGGACCTGCTACATGATGATAAGCACTTCCTAACCCATTGCTGTTGTTGGTGGGACAGAATTTCATTATATATATATATATATATATATATATATATATATATAACTAAATAGAGCAGAGGAAGTTTTAAAAGCTTGAGTTTGCTTATTAGTGTTTAAAACTCATTGGCATGACTTGTTTTTCCTGTACAGGCAGAAATGTAATGCATTTTTGTTGTTTTGTTGCAAGAGTATCAGTATCGCAAGCGTATCAATATTATTCAAAAGTGCTTGAAACTATAAAGGAATGCTGTCCATCCTGCAGAACGCTTGCACTGAATTCCAGGCGAGTTGTATGTTTTATGACATAATTTGCTTCCATCAACAGATCCAGAGATGATATGGAGGCTTCTGGAGAACTTCCTGTTCCATCTCAAAAAAATAAGAGACGCTGCTATACTTGTAGTTGTAAGCTAGAGCTTGCTCAGCGTACTATTGGTCGGTGCAGATGTGGTAAGTTTTGAACTAGTGCTACCTGGAAATAGTGCTTATTTCATTTAGTTAAACATCTCTCCCCCCCCCCCTGCCTGGCCCAGGGGGGGGGGGGGATATTTTTTTTTTTTTTTTTTTTTTTTTTTTTTTTTTTTTTTTTTTTTTTTTTTTTTTTTTTTTTTTATTTTTTTTTTTTTTTTTTTTTTTTTTTTTTTTTTTTTTTTTTTTTTTTTTTTTTTTTTTTTTTTTTTTTTTTTTTTTTTTTTTTTTTTTTTTTTTTTTTTTTTTTTTTTTTTTTTTTTTTTTTTTTTTTTTTTTTTTTTTTTTTTTTTTTTGATAGACCTACTGCACCCTAACAAACATATAAGAAAAGCTTACTAATTAGGGTTGTTTCCTATGAAATCAGACTGAATTTGCCAGAGAGGTAAATAACCAACAAGTAAACATCTTTCCCGTATGGGTGTAAGAGCTCTTTTTTAGAGAACATAAAATAGACCCACTGCCGCAGCAAGCTTGTCTTGGGAGGTGACTAATTAAAGTTGTTTTCTTCTGTTGGGAGTGCATATGTCTGAGAGGACAAGCACCAACGGTCTGCACACACATTTTCTGCACGAGTTTATAACTGATGAGATGGGGAAAAAAAGAAAATATGGTTAAATCGGAAAAGGTAGTGCCCATTTGGCAAATAATGTTAACTTCAACTACCATATTATCTGTTTTGAGTCCAAAAAGAGCTGCACATAAATAAGCCAGACCTGTAAAACGGATATGCCCTGTGGCATTACAGTAAACTCCTGAATGTCTGACCCTCAAAATCCTACTGTATGGCAAAAAGGTTCAGGTGTCTATAAGCACTGGTTCACTCGCCAGTGTGTTGGGATCAATTTGGGGAAGCCTCATCTGATGCATGGTTCTCCATACTTTCGTGCTGTATCCTCCAGATGAAACAACGGTCAAGGTATCTTACACAATGAAGACAAATTTACCTATTTGTGTGGTTGTCAAAGCCCCGAACCTATGGGCTGCTTTCTGCTGATCTCTTGAGGGCGCAGCCCATGATGATTGGAAAGCCAAATATATGGATGTGAGGTTACACAGTCATGTGCAGGACTTGATGATACTTTGGATGAGCCCTGGACCAGAGTGTTGACTCTGCATTTACGCAAGCCTCCATGGATGGCTGGAAATGCCCATAATTTGCCTCTGCCTTCCTTTAAGAGCCGACCAGTCTATATTGGGTGCCCTGGACGAGTTCTTTAGGGGCAACACCTGTAGATAAGAAGACAAAGCAACACGATGCAAATATAGCTACATCAAATGTCCCATGAAACTATCTGGGAAGATGACCTGGTCCACAAATTCTTAATGAAGTCAGATGGATGTTTCAGCTGAAAGGCACAAATATTTCAGCTTTGTTGTAAAGAGGCATAAGGCAACTATGTCACTCGGATGAACTACAAGAACAAAAAGAAGAAGCAGATGTGCATGCAACACTAAAGTATTGAAACAGTCTGAACAACTAGAAATGGATTTATTTTTATTATTAACAACCAAGACTTTACAGCTGGGGAACTCTAAAGAGAATAAGATTCTATTTTATGTGTAAATATGTGTGAATTTGGCCGTTATAGTCTCAAATGAAGGCTTTTTAACAATAGATTTTTACTGCTCTAAAATGTCCCTTATTTAAGTCTGTTACTTCATTAACTGATGTCTGCACAGACAAGGGGGACTGAAGTAGTATGGCATCCTCATTTGGGTTCACATATTTTCTTGTCATTGCTATTCCTGGGTATAGAATACTGGGTCTTCACAAGCATGTCAGAAAAAGTGGTTAATTCAGGGTTTGCTGCAGTGAAATGTGTTGGGCTGAAAGGTACTAACTTTGCTTTTAAAGATGAACAGAGAAATTTCATGACGGAATAACTAATATGGAACTTTGGGAGAGAGCTAAACAAATTCCAGTCATTATGAGGTGAGAACAGAACATTGTGTTGGCACACACTGAGATCATCTTATAGCAGTTTAACTAGAATATCCTTGCACAGGAATCTGCAAAGTCATAGGAAAACAAGCAGACCAGAAAACACACTACGAGAAGAATTAATAAGGTGGAACAAATGGAAAGGAAATGGAGTGAGCTGCACGTGATGACAAAGTATAGGACAACTTGAATTTGTTGAAGGTCGAGGCTCCATTGGAAGGTAAAAGAAGAAGAATATTTTTTACAAGATTTTGATTTGCATCTAAAAAGCTGCAACATGCACATTTAGTTTCATATAAGGAAACTTGACCGACATCTATTTTTTTCTCCTCCAATCAGATCGGGTATTTTGTGCACTTCATCGACTGCCAGAGCTGCATCAATGTGAGTTTAATCATAAGGAAGATGGACGACGTGAAGCTAGGGAAAAAATGATCAAACCTACACGACATCTTGGGCCTTCCTATCGTAGAGAGGATCACTCATGATGCCACTGGTCTGGGCTGGGCATGCTGCTACAATGTTCTAAATATATCATTTTACTGTTGCAGCTTTTAAAGGACAACACTATTGATGTTCATGTGCTGCTGTTAAGGAGAATTGGATATGAATGCTTATTACTTATTTCCTGAAACCACACACATGTGAATTCCTGTTTCCCGTTTAGTCATTTCTAATGTCACCTATAATTCAGGTTTCACATACCCTGTGCTAAGAGCTTTATCTCTCATGTGTGCCCCCCCCCCCCCCCCCATCCTTTTTCCTGACTTTATAGTGTTTTTCCCTTCCTATTTTAAAAGGGTTTCTAATGTTGTAGGCAGGCATCTGAAATACTATTTAATAATGGAGTCACACATTGTGTTCCACATATGACCAGCAACAGTTATATCATTCTAATTGTGGTTAACTTTTAATACTTCTGTTTGATTAAATATGTTATAAAATCTTTGTTATGGTGGTTCATATATTGAATGTGATGATTAAATGGTGTCTGTATGTAAGTTTTGTTTGTTTCTGAAACACAAGCTCAGTTGTTCTGAGATCTGCTGTTGTCAGGTTGGAAAGATTCCCCCCCCCCCCCCACCACCCCAGGTTTTCAGGCATGACAGTTGACCTATTTCAGGATACAGATTTTTTGCCATATTATAAAAATCCTAGGTTATAATGCAAGGAGATCACTGAAGTCAGGTTGAAAGTTGAAGCCTTGCAATTTAGGTTGAGTGAAGTACCTGTGTCCATTTCGCTTACCTTCTCATTGTTTCTGTTGAACTTAGAATATTACTCTCCCCCACGTAATAGTGTCTTTGTTCAACTTCAGAATGTGACTTTCACAGAAAGTTTCTTTCAAAAACACAGGAGTTATCCAAACTTTTGATTCAATGAATCATAGCCATTGATAAATTGCTTATACTTTTGTATCATTGCTAGCTTTGCAACATCTTTTACGTGTATGTTTGAAACAAAAACATTTTTGGGAGCTCTTGGTTTTCTCCATAAAAAAATTTTTTGAAAGAAATCTCCTTTGTTGAGACTGATTGTTGTAGTGTTGCATTGATTCCTATGAAGTAGTGATCTATCAAAAGTTCTCACTATATATCTGCACATTTTCTGTGCCCCATGCTAGCACTGTGGAGCAAGGTATTGAAAGTATCTCCACCATCTGTCATCATCAGGGTTGCCTGGTGTTGAACTCAAAAGTGTGTTGTCTGTGCTGTTGACTCCAGAGTATGTTGTCTAGTTTTGAACTCAAAAGTGTATGTTAATTCCAGATATGTTGTGTGGGGTGTTGAGAGCAAAATAATAATATTGACAGCATAACCACTGGATGCTATCGCCACTGATGGTTAATGGCCATTTCCTCAATACTGAAAATAATGCCTGGATATTTACATCTGCTGAAACTTTCTGAAGTGGTTTGTGAAAGATTCATAGTCTTGTCTCTCTACATTTGCATCACTTTTATGGCATCACATGGTTAATAGCATGAAACCATTGTTATGAAGGTCGGGAACATTTAATTCTACTGTTGGGCGAATCAACATTTGCTTGCCTTCTCTCGTACAAATGAGAGCAGCTTCAGAGATGTTTAACTCAGGCCATGCTCCTTCATGTGCACTATCACCTCATTTGTTTTTTAATTGTACAGTGAACACATAATGAGATAAGTCATGGATATACCAGGAAGTGTGGTTGGTGGTCATAACAGCCCAAGTTGTGCTGTTGATACAGTCTTGATAGTGACATATGAGAAAGGACTACAGGGATTGATGGATGCAGTGGTGGTAGACAGTGATCAAATGAATTTGAACTTCAATAATAAGACGACACAAAAAAAGTGCCTAAATGTTTAATAAAAGTCAAAGGCTCTATTTTAGAACAGGTACAGAAATTTAAGTATCTGGGCACATGGATAGCATCTAATGGAAGATGTATCACAAAGATAAAGAACAGAATAGGACTTGCCAAAACTGCATTTTATAAAATGAAAATTTTATGCAATAAATCCATGTCATTAAAGGTTAGGAAATAAATTCTCACATTTTATAAAGATCCAATTTTAACATATGGCTGTGAATCCTGGACAAATAATGAACAAGCCAAACAATTTCTTGAAGCCTCACAGAAGTGATTTTACAAAATTCTTAGAGGATTCCTTGGAAAGCCAAAAAAAAAAAAATCAACTCAGATGTTTTGAATGAAGCCAGGACTCAAAGACTGACTTATCACAAACACACAAAAAAAAGAGACATTCAACATCCTTTGGTCATGTTAAGAGAAGAAAGAAACTGTATCATGTTTTGACCACTGAAAAGATCTGTGGAAAGAAACAGGAAGACAGCATGAGAAGATTCTTGTCAGCCTTTTGTTATGGCATTGAGGGGTGTCGGCACGTAAGCTGATGCATGCAGTTGCAGATTGTGGATTGTGTGCCCATGCCAGTTGATAAGGCACTTGATGATGGTGGGATGTTTTAGAGAAGGAATGGTACACAAAGATAATGTAAACGGACATTAGTTATGTAGAAATAGAACAGCCCAATGTTTTAGGGAAGGAGTGTTACATAAAGATAATGTGAATAAAGAAGTGTGAGATGGAGCAATGGTTTAGTTGATTTGCTGTATATCCTATAATGGTCATTATGACATTTGATTCAGTCTCAGCGTTGGGTTTACCTTGTTGATTATAGAATTCATCTATGTTTTATAGAAATTGTTTGGCCATCAGGTCACATTTACCCGTACTGGCATCCAGAAATAATGATTAGGTAAGTCAATGGTTACACACCAAGTATGACATTGCCATAGACTGCAGTCTTAGCTGTTACACATCTTTCAGTGCATCCCTTGGTACTTGAGTATGTCTGTTTACATTTCTGTCTGTACTGATGCAAGAATAGTGTGACCTAATGATCTTTTTCAGTTGAACTCGTGAAAAAAATGTCTGTTGTTGGGGTATATTTTGAGTTGTTTCATCAGCATGTATTAGAATGTTTCATACCAGTGAAAGGTGTAGCTTCTGCAGTTTTGTTAACATGTTTATATGAATGGATGGTGTACTACATTTATTATAGTCAGCGTTTCACTTATGAGCTGTCATTTTTTTGTTTTTTTGTGAGGTTATTTTTAAAATGGTATCATTTAGAATTATCATCTTTCCCCAGCTCTTCTCTTTTGCTCTGTTATCTGGAAATCTGTAATTATTTGCATAATGCGCAGTTAAAAGAAAATTTAAATACTGTACTCACCAGAAGAAAACTGCTAATACTAATTAGAAGTCCATGCTGTACTAGTAGGTGTGAAGTTAATTGACCTTGAATATAAAACTACGTCAGTTAAAACATTTCAGGTTTAAGGTCTACAGATTTCAGAGAAAATATTGATTATTAGATGGGCACGGGAAATTACTCCTTGAAGTACACAAGGTGGAAGTGCTGGCGAGAGACCAAGTTTCTCCAGGCAGACCGTGGCGTTCTGCAAAGGATCTGCTACATGATGATGATTCTTTCGTTTTTCTTACATATGCTCAGAAATTGTTTTATTGTTCTCTTGAACTGCGTTTGTGAGAGTGATGCATTGAACAGAGCATTTTTTATTAGAAGCCATAAACAGAGAGTCGCATGACTATGTTTTGATTAGTAGCCAGAAACATAGTTTCGCTTGGCTATGCTTTGATAAGAAGCCAGGAACAGCATCACTTGATTGTATGTATGCTTTGTTTAGCAGCCAGATACAGAGCGTCGCTTGACTGTATGCTTTGATTAGACAGACACACAGCTTTTGGCCAGTATTTGACTGTGATATTTATATTACGGTAAAAGGAAACATTCGATCAGACACTGTAGACAAACCCAGTTTTCTCTTTAAGATTTTTAAAATAGCCAGTCATAACTTTTTGCTTGTTACATGCTTCATTACAAATAGAACTGTCCATCATAATACATTAGAAAAATCTCCTGTAGATTTGCTGATGTATGTAGTCTCACAGTGCAAAACTGGAATTGTATGTCTCACCTCTTGTCTGATCATGATATTTGTGTTGTATTTCTCTTACCTTGTGTGTCGGATACATCCCTTTTAACCGATGTAAAAAAAATATTCCAAATAGAAAAAAAAATAAAAATTGATATTTTTTCAAATTTTGATAAATGACATTCAAATGTAAGATTGTAATACCGGTTTTTCATGATATTTAAAATAGATCGTTGAAATCTGTTGTGGCATGCAGTAAACGGGCACAATGCAGCTATGTAGAAAACAAACATGTATTGGATGAACAGGGAAGAATTCTAAGTTAACTACATCTGTGAAGTATATCAACATGATCTGTAGAATTACGAGTTACCCACTGCGTTTGAGTTTCCTTGCAAATTTCTGGCTTTTTCAGGTTATCACATGTAAACACGAGGGCAGAACTGTCACATAGATTTTAAATATTAATGCACCATTGTTTTGATTCTGTATTGTCCAATGTGTATGGAAGTTTCTTGGTGGAAATCTCATGATTGGCAATGGAATTAGAACTTATCTCCTTATTTCTACAAGCTACTAAAAGCACTCTTACTAGCTTGATAACAGTTTTAAATCATGTGTCTATCATTGTCATTTAGTAAGAGAAAAGTCTGTTTAGGATGTTTGTTTTCGTGTTCTTTCTGGTTTGTATCCTTTTTCGCCAGACAGACTGTTCACATGATTCACAAAGATGTTGGCTGCCGTTGGGATTTAAAGTGTTAGGTCTTCACATACTTGAAAAGGCCAGTTAGCTATTTCTCTTCATACCAACCTTTCCTTATGGGCAGTTTAAAAAAAAAAACTATTTGATAACTTATTTTGGGACATAAGGTTTACCCTAGGGCCATTCTGATAGGAACAATTAAAGCAGCCAGCACCGGAGATTGAACCCTGACCGCTATTTGGATGAGCAAGTGCACTAATCATTGTGCTATTATGGCTGCTATTGTAGACAGAACTTGCTGTATACACATTAAATG